TTATTTTTATCAACATTTACTAAGTGTCTTTTATTATTTTTTCATACTAAAAAACGATGTGCTAACATTTTATATAGAATTATTCAATTTCCGTGTCGTATCTTAACAAACAACATTGTTCTATGGAAATGAAAAAAATTAAATTTATTTAATAAAAAATATATTTTGAGAATGTTTTCTTCATGTACTCTATTTATATTATTTATTTACCTAAGATATGGTATTTGACGTTTTTGGCGTCGTATGTTTCCTAGTTTCGTTTTTCACCCAAACTTATTTCAATTATACAGATTGTTTGAATACTTCCGGCGTTGTTCTTCGGAAACCCTATACATTTTTGATGTAGCGTATTGAGAACCAACTATGTTCTTCGGCATAAAATTATATACGTTTTTGTTCAGTATGTTTGAATGCTAAATATAGATATATAAATGACTAGATATTTTTATTTGAGACTTTTTTGTCTCAGTTAGACATATCTTTAAATATTTTACTATGTTACAGGCCTTGGAATTGTAAAACCAGAATCACCATTACCCCCTGAAGCGGAAATTATAGTCGACCAATTAAGGGAAGTAGCGCAAGAAGTATTTGCAGATGGCGATGAAGATTTAGTTGAAGACTTAACACCATTTGGTATAGAAGATGCCAACACCAGTTTTGAGGCTTCTCCTCCTATGGTCATCGAAGAATTTGAGAACATTGTTGCCAGTACACCTAAATCACCCTTAACAATTCCTACTCCCATGCCTTCACCGACTAATAGTCACAAGACATGTAATGACCTATTTTGTGCTTTACACGATCACTGGACAGACGCAGTACCATCTTCACCAAGTACTGTAAGTGGACTAAGTTCTTTTTCTGAATCAGATACCAATTCAGTACTATCTCCAGGACGAAAAAAACGTACAAAAAATAGAGAATCATGGTCTGATGTAAAAAGGAAATTCTTAACGAATTTAGGTAAAAAATATGTTTCAAAGAGGGGTAAAGTTGTTGATGAAAAGGTTATGGGTATGCCTTGTAAATGTCGTTACAAATGTAGTGAGAAAATTACTAATGAACAAAGACTAAATTGTTTTAAAAGATTTTTGGAGTCTTGGTAACAAAGAAAAACAGTGGGGATTTGTAGTTAAATTTTGTTTAAAAGTAAAGAAGCATCGATGTCTTAACACCGATCAACCTAATTTACGTAAATATACTTATAAGTACAGCTTACCAATAGCCTCTTCTTTGGACCCTTCTGCGTCTGACGTGATCGCAGTTTGCAAAACTATGTTTTTAAATACTTTGGCTGTGAGTGAAAGAATTGTTCAAACAGCTTTCCAAAAATTTGATGGCGTCTCTGATATATACATGGACAGAAGAGGACGTCATGCTAATCGTAAAATAGTAATAGATAGAGAAATGAAAAGAAGTGTCTGTGACCACGTCAATTCTTTTGTCCCAATAGAGTCTCATTACGTTAGGCAGAAATCGAACAAGCTATACTTGGACGGTAATCTTAGTATTGGGCGTATGTTTTTATTATACAAAGAATGGTTTAATCCTACAAAATATGTTAAAAGGGCTTCAACCGAACGTCAATATAGAGATATTGTTTCCAAATACTTTAATTTAGGATTTTATACCCCCAAAAAAGATGCGTGTGACACTTGTCACATATACGGCAGTAAAAATAATCATACAGAAGACGAGATTGTATTGTATCAAAAACACATTCGTAACAAAAAATAGCTCGTAAATTAAAAAATGACGACAAGAATGCAGCAATTAACTCTGGTGGTAAAAATAATAACAGCAGTCTTGACTTTCAGAAGGTTCTAACTTGTCCTCAGGGTCAAATTAGTATATTTTATTACAAAAGAAAACTATCATGTTTTAACTTTACTGTATTTGATATGGGTCACAAACAGGCATATGTTACATGTGGAATGAAAACTATTTCAAAAGGGGGAGCTAACGAAGTCAGTAGTTGTTTATTGGATTTTGTAAAGGAAAAAAGCTCATGCTGGTGTTGATGAGATCAGATTCTGGTCGGATAATTGCGCCGGGCAGAATCGAAACCGAATCGTTTATTATTTTACACGTATGCTGCAAAAAAGTATGGTATTACAATAACACACAGGTTTTTAGAGAAGGGACACACCCAAAATGAGGGGGATAGTGTCCATGCCCTCATAGAACGTGCGTCTAAGTCTCGGATAGTTTACACTCCAGATGAATGGCGTGCACTTGTGAGGTGGGCAAAAACCGATGGTAATCCCTATATAGTTAAAAATATGGAGCAAAAGGATTTTTTAAACTTCAAAATTAAGGTTAATAACAAATTATGGCTTAAAAATTGCAAGAATGAAATGAAAAATTCTATGGAATCAGGTAAAGGAAGTCCATGTCAATAAAAAAGATCCCAATAAATTATATTATAAATATGATCTCAATGAAAGTGGTTATAATTGTCTGGTCATAGGATCTAGAACCAGAAATTCATCATCAGCTCTACCTGATTTAACTCCTATTTCTAACAGCTTGTATAAAATATCGAAAGATAAATATAATGATCTTGTTCACATGTGCAAAACCGGTGTAATAATTTCTGAACATAGCATTTATTTCAAATCTCTACCATTTGAAAATAATCATGGTTCTAATAATAATGACAGTAATACAGATGATGAGTGATTTTTTTTTATTATTTTGTTAATTTCATGACGTTTCATTTGATAGTTTTGTTTTTGATTTTGTATAGGATTTAAACAGGTCTGAGACAATTTTGGAGAGAAGTATTTTTTGCTATTACTAGTTTTGGAAATATTTATTTTATTTTTTATTGTGAAGTGAATATTAAGTACCTGCTCAATCATGTTCCTAGTACAAACATTAAGTTATATTTAATATTTATCTAATAATTATATTTGGGTAAAGACTAACTCATATCTGTTGTTGATATAGATAAATAAATATTATTTCTGAGATTAGTTATTCTAGTTTTGTGATTTGACTGATTTATTTTTTTACCTATTAAGACTGATCATAAACGGGTCCCACAATTAGTATTAAGAGTTTAACTACCAAATGTCAAGATTTTAAATTAGATTTATTCCTTGCTTGTGCAATTTTTAAATGGTATTTTAGTTAAAAAATCGTTGATTATATTTTTCATTTCTTTAATTATATAAATATACCTTGTGTTTAATCAATAAAAAGTTTTTTTAAGAACCTACGCAATTTTTAATTTATCTAGAATAACATACGACATTAATATCCCTTTTGTATTCCACAGAACAGCATGACATGTATATATATGTGGTACAACTTTCCATCGAACAACGTCGGAAAGTCACAACATACGTCCTAAGTTACGTAATATAACGTCGGATTATAATATACGAACGTATTTTTTTTATTTTATTAATAAAATGTTATTATTATTATCTAGTAATAACCCTTAATAAAAGACAAAAAGCTATTTATAAATATTTTTTCAATTAATTAACTAGGAGGAAAGTTATACTAAAAAATGTGACTACAAAACTTTAAACTGCTCTCCTGTAAAGTAGATATTTTGTAGATCCGATTTTGTTCTACGACAGTGTCGAAATGTTCCCAGCGGGACTCGAACCCGCGACCGTTTGTACAGCAAGTAGGGTCACTACAAACTGAGCCAAACGTGTCGTCGCACTTTATAACTCGCACAAAATAAATGCACATGGTTTTGCAAACTACAAAGCTTTTAAATAAAACTTCAAAAGAAAAAGAAACAAGTGCACAATGTTGTTGTTTAAAAACATATTTTGTTAAGGTTGTTAACATTATTTATTTAACGTCACTCTCAAACAAGTATGTTAAATATGAAAGCCTTTGGCCAAAGTCATTAAAGAATAATAGCAATAATAATAACCAGAGCAAATCCTTAAATTATATTAGAAAATTATACTAGAGCATGTTTAATATTTAATTTTGATGTCTCATAAACTTCTAATAAAATCCAATTGGCTTTTATGATTTACTTTTGTAATATATTTTTCTTAACGTATAATGTATCATTTTTTTCTATTTCGAGCAATTTCTTTTGGCCCAAATATAACTTGACATAAATATTTATTTCTATTAAAGTGTAAAAATATCTAGATTTACAATAACATAATTATACATATGTACATTAAAGAATTTAATTCGGAATTAGAAAGAATTAACGAAAAAATTAAGATTAACCAAACGAAACGCAAAAAATTAAGATTAACCAAAAATGAAAAATCTTCAATGTTGTACGATGGATATTATAAAAAGTAATTTATATAAAACTATATAACGCTTTGGTTCGTCCCTAGATACATTTTAACGGTTAGTATAGATTTCTCAGAGATGATGATTTTCCTGCAGTAAAAAGTATCGTATATATCGACCCGGTGTCATTATACCAAATTTCATCAAAATCCCTCCAGTGGCTTTTCCGTAAGGCAGACAAACAGAAAAAAAAACTAAAAATTATAGATTCTGCCTCCGTTTCGATAATAATATCTATTTTAATAAGATTTTCCAAATCACATTTAATGTACAGATGTATATAAATAGAGTGTAGACAACATACCTATAACATAAATATAATTTGACTTAAGTAAGGACTATGTTTATAAAAAAGCTACCAGAAAATATTTTTATAACGTCCACATATGTTTTGAGCATTGTTATTTCAACTCAACTAATAAATTTATTTTATTTTAACTTTATCTACAATATAAAACCAGTCAGACAATTATATCTCTATATTAATTTACTCATAGGTATTTTTTAAAGTAATTATTAATACTTATTATTACTGTTACCTTATAATTCTTAATAATCGTTTGAGATAGTATAAAAAAAACATTTAAAAAAAATCGGTTTAAGTGTAACACCCTTAATTATAAAAGATAAATTTAAATTAAAACGTGTTTTGATTAAAATGTGAATATGTTGAAGTGATTATGTAAATAATTGAACTTGTTGTCCTCCAGACAGTCCGTTAGTGACTTTGAGTCTTGGCAGCACTCTCAATCCACACGACATCAAGGAGGGCGACGATGTTTACTTCGAATGTAACGTGCGCGCCAACCCTCGGGAACACAGGATATCGTGGTACCATAATGTAAGTATGTCACGTGTTATGTGTTAGTTAATGAAAACACTATTACGTATGGCATTTTTTATCTAAATGTTCAAGCATTAATATTTTTTTATATTAGACTCAAGGTTTTCTTAGTTTTTGGAGAAAATTAAATACCTACGAGTATATAAATTTTGACTCTGATCATTTAGGTCAATTTATATTTTGGAAATTATTTAAAAAAATATTCTGAAACTAATATTATAAATGCGAATATTGTGAGTGATTAAGTGAGTCAGTTAGTGAATGAATGTATTTTATAGTAGTTACAAATCATCCTTCACGTATACGAGTTCTTTATTTAATTGTTTTGTTTCTGTTACCTAAAGCTAAAAATGACATTTTTTTCAATTTAAAATTTTAATTCATGTAGTATTTTTTACATATGATTTTAATTAACTGTTCGTTCTATTCATTTTTTAACTTTTTATTGAAGCATTTCGCCCAAGGGAGCGATTTCGTACGTAAGCTAATTAGCATAGAAAACTATTTCGTTAATAGCCCTGTTTGAATAGATATTGATCTACTTGATTTATAACGTAAATATATACGTTGGATTGTATTTGGATAGGTGTTTTAAGGAGTTTCATTACATGTAGGTATTTAAGCAAAATTCTATGGAATAAAAATTTTCATATTTTTGGGATATTGAATAATTTAAATTATGTGTGGTATATTCATCATACATCATAATACATCTAGTCAGGACTTTGATTAAATTTATGTAATTAATTTATGTTACATTACAAAATAATAAATTACAGATCGTATTAGGTAGGCTGTTCATTTTTTTATATATATAAAATTTGTCATAGTGATCGACATCCTAAGAAATAATTTAAAAAGTTCAAAAGATAAACAATAATTAATATTTCTTCTTAGCTTTGGCCATTTTTTATAATAAAATATATGATAATATACTCGGCTTAGTTAAAAAATTAAAAGTATAGAGCATAGATAATGCACGGTATGTAAATATTAATATAGTTATTATATTCATGATAAAAGAACGGCTCACCCTCGCTTCGTTTGGGTTTGCCTCTAGAGAAACAAAAACAAATCTATTCCACGGGAACCGTATATTTTTCCGAGATAAAAAGTAACCTGGGTGTTATTTTGACGTATGAGCTATATTATAGTAAAGTTTCATTAAAGAAATCATTCAAAAAATCAGTTTTTGCGTGAAAAGTAAATAACATCCATACATCTATAGGTACATCCAGACATTCGCACAAAATATCGCATTTATAATATTAGTAGGATCCATATTTTGAAATGTTAGTAACTTTTTATTATATGTAAGGAGTGTGATATGACTATGTTATTTGCTATACATTAACATCTCCAAGTAAATTTCTAAGAAATTAATCAAATTTCTAAGAAATTTATTGTTAACTGTAATGCCGGCGTGTCCGCGGTCTTTGATAAACCGTAAGCGAATGGCAAGTAAAATTAAAGTTAATATGATTTGTATACGAAAATACCGACTAAAATTCAATATTTTAAAATTATAGCTTTTTATTTAAAATGATCCATGTCGATTTCATTTTAAACTGTATCAATAAAATGACATAGGATTTAAAGGTGGACCTTTGGGTGGATTACACTTTGCAGTATGTTAAAGCTAGAGTTGTCATATTTATATTTAAATTAAATTCGAAGAGATGTTTATTTGTGCTTAAAAGATAGTAAATAACGAGTATAAAATATAACTCATCCTTTACTCTTGTAGTTTTTTGCATATTGTAAAATAACCATAAATTATATATATATATATATATACATACATATATATATCCACTTACTTTTCTATACAAACGCTTATTAATAATATATTATTGAAATATTGCGTATAAGGTATTATTGTAATTAGTATTGTAATATTGCCTAGAAGTACCCAACAACGTTTTCAATAACGGAACTAATCACGAATGCTCTCACTACGAGTAGGTCGCTTTGTATCATCAGATCAGATTATTATAATTATTATGACACCGATTATATAATAATACCTTTATTATGGAAACTATCCCACGTGATCGTCCATTACACCATGTTTTGTAACTTGACAATACGAGTATGTCGTGGAATCGAGCTGGTAAACTGCATGCAATACCAACCACTTTCTTACCATAAATATCCTCAATAAATTTTAGTAAATATTTTTATAGCTCTATATCTGTTTTCTATAAAGTGCAAAAAACTGAGGACGAGTTTGTGTACTTTTTCTTTATGAACTGAAAATGATATATTTTCTTTGAATTAATAATTTATGAAAAAGAAGTATGATTGTATATAATATGTTTGTTGAAAAAGGTTTTTAAAATATTATTATAAGTTTAAATTCTATCGTAGGACAGACAAGTGACACAAAACATGACATCAGGTATCATACTGAGCACGCGGTCGTTAGTGCTGCAGAAGGTGACAAGAAAAGAAGCGGGGCACTACTCATGTAGAGCGGCTAACGCCAGGGGAGAGACGTCCAGTGAAAGTGTTAGGCTGAGAGTGCAATGTGAGTATAGCTTTGAATACTCTTCTAATATCATTCCCTTTTAATAGCTTTATTATTACCTACATATATATTTATGCGGGAAATTTACCATATTTTTCCCATACTTTTTCCGTCGTAAAGTTACTGTACCATAGTTACCGTAATACGGTAAAGTTACCGTAGTTTACAGACTTAAACTTAGTTCCCGATATTTTTGTACTGTTACAAGCGCCATGGTTACATGGTCGCGTGTTAAGAAATACCCTTGACCGTTAAAAATTTATGCGATATTTTCATCTCCATTTGGTACTATATTAATTTCGAATAACAGTACAATGATTAGATACTATGAATCAAATCTACTGATGGAGTCTGGACATGGAGGTAGATAGTTGAACTTTTAAATGGCTATGTCTTTACGTGTCCAGTAAATAATAGTTAGTTAAATTAGCTTTAGTTTTTAAATGTTAATGATGATATCTAGAGATATATATAGTAATATTATAAAATGACATCTTTTGAGTCAAATATATCGTCTATTTTTTAGAACTTTTTGATACATATATACATATTGTGTATATTAGTGTAATTATGAATGTAGCATTGATATTAATCCCTGATTCCTGCTCTGCGCCTATACAGTGTAGGCGTATAAAGTAATGTATTAAGTTATAATTTATTTGCCCCAAGTTGGAAAACAATCCACGATTGCTTGTGTAGTAGGCAGAGCCATAAGTTAATCTTAACACCGTCTTACACCAATAGGTATAAACGTGTTACATACATATATACAATGTAAAAATATTGTAACTTTATGAGTTTTTATAGTGTTTATTTTTTCAAAAATAATTCGATCTTAATTAGTTCTAAAGTGAAATCACCTTTAATAATCATATGAAATACATAATATATAAATATCTGATAACACAATAACGTTACACTTTAACGATTGACAACTATCTACCTGTGGTTTTCTTTCCAGATAAGTATAGAAATTTCACATAATTTGTACGGAGCTTATGTAAATATCTCTTATGAAGAAAATATAAGACACAAAGTTTATTGAACACTGCCGTAAATAAACTGCACTCGATCCAACAAACAGTGTCAAAACAGGGAGATCAAAACTTACCACCCTTATATTGAAGCGTCATATTTTAGTGCAATGGGGTTTGATTTATTATACTTTCCAACCCTTCTATATATTACAAAAGCTTTCTTTAACGTAGGAAGCAAGCCGTAGCAAAATCGCTGGTTACAAAGAGTAACAAGGCAGGAAACGAAATATTACTTGAGTGGGGGCTTTGTAAAAATATCAGGCTTAGAGTGCAAAGTCGTATTACTTTCTTTTTGCGAACCGTTTTATAAAAACAGTATTATTATAATTTTATAGATCACTCTTAATCTTTATTTATCCCAGAAAACCTTTACAAACTTGAATTTCTTGATTAGAAAATGCAAAAGATCGTTTATATCAAGTCTCGTGGTTAATTTTTTATAGAATAAAACTCACCTTAGAATTTTTGATATTACCGCCAAGTTAATTTAATGCTTAATAGAAAATGTAATATTTGACTTCATTCATAATATTAAAAAAAAACAACCAAATCAAGCTAGTTCTTCTCGGTAGTGATAATCTACTTTTTGCGTAAATTGTTCCAAGAAAACCAGGCTAACTATGTAGTTTTTCAGACCATTTACCTGTGCATTGAGCGATTTATCGATAAAATTGGTAGTATGAAGGGGGCGCGGCGGGAGAGTACCTATTATGATTCTATAATAAAACAATTACACTCATATTATAAAACAATAGGCTATTTTGCTCAGCGTTCTTTTTACCTAACGGGTCCTACTTATATTTTTTATAGGTCCCGTCCCGTGGTAAATTGTATGCTAGTATGCTTTTGCTACTATACTCTTTTATCTAACAAAAGCGTGGTACAAAATTAAATATATTAAATTTGTACTTTGTAATTTTACGCTATATTCACACATATTTCCCTTTTTCAATCAATAATACGCATAATCCACCCCGATAAACCTCCGCGACGGGACACGCCGGCGTGTCAGTTAACAATAGATTTCTTAGAATTTTAATAATTTCTTAGAAATTTATCCGGAGGTGCTAAAATCGGATTAGGATTAGATTATCATATTACTCCATGAAATCGTGACAGTTTCTCTTCGATAAGATAGAAAGTTCGAAAGTCAGGTAAATGTTATATAATGTTTTTAACCAATGTAAAAACATTTTAAACTAAAAACAGTGGACAAACGAATAAACTAAGATTACTCGTGCACTGTAACTAAATTTACTGCCTTTAACCCCTCTTTATTTATACCCATTCGACTCTTCGAAGGACTAACATAAGCTCTTGGAAAAAGTGCTGTGAAAACTAAAGACAATTATAGCAGAAAATACTTCTATAGAATGTTTTTTTATCAAATACCATAAAATATTTTCTTGGGGAAATGAATTACCCATATTTCTTAGACATTGCTACAGTTACATAATAATATTTTCTCTTTGTACTTTCATTAAAAAATATAATATATACATATGTATCTACAGTCCTGTTATGAAAAACTTTATTTGTTTGATAAGCGGCTGGACGAATTTTGATGACAACATACGAGAACTTGTGTTTTATATAGATGGGTCTTATTTGACCCACCCTGTATATCTGTGTGTGCTGCATACATCCTTTTTTAACGGGCCTCCCTTCAATACGAGGGGGGTCAGCCATAGTCCACCACGCTGGCTAAGTGCGGGTTGGCGAACATCACTTGTCTTTCGAAAACTTGCTAGGCTCTCTCCGACATGCAGGTTTCCTCACGATGTTTTCCTTCATCGTAAGACAAGTGATAATCATGATGAAATGAAAATGAAAAATGAAATGATTCGCACAAAAGATATTCTGATATTTTTTGCGTGTCACCCCTGATCTACTACTGTTTTTATATCTGTATACTACATTAAAATCATGTATGATTCAATAACAGACATACACACACATACAAATTTTCAATTATATAATAATATTCCGATTTACACCTAGAGACGCAACCAAGGGAAGAAAGGACAAGTCGCTAGTTTAGTAATAAATTGTTCCGAGGATTATGAGTGAAAACACTCGCAGCTCATTCATTCCTGTGGTTTAAATAAAACTTTCGAACTAGCGGTACAAGTATGTTAATTATATATATTTGTTTCATTGAATTCTATCAATTCGAAAAGCATTATTCTACCGAAACCCTTTTGCTAACTATTTTAATTAAGCTGCGAAGGTACAATCTGCTTTTGAATAATTTCCTAAAGGTACGCTATTCACTAAGGGATTACCTAATGCTACTTCCTAAGTATATAAAAGAGGAACTAACCGATTTAATGACTTTGAACCTCGAAATTTTATTTGTAGGGCTATGTCAATACTAGTAAATTAAAAAAGGCTTTAATAAAATTTTATGCTAAAACATTCCCTATAAAAAAGACGAAGTTCATAAAATCTTGTAGCGTAATACAAAATTAATATTAATTATATAGTATAGTACTATATAGATATAATAACTTCACATAACATATCTAGTCAAATACTAGCGACCTACCATTGCTCCGCTCGGGTTCGTCCCTTGCTTCCCCATACAAACTTTCACCCCCTTAAGGGATGATTTCCGGGATAAAAACTATCCTATGTCCTTCCCAGGGTCAAAAACTATATGCTTACCACTAAATCAGTTCTGTAGTTTCGATGCCTATTCGATACAAACAAACAAATAAACAAATTTTTCCTGTTTATAATATTAGAATGGATTAAATAAATAATGTATAATAATATCACAGAATTGATATTATTTGTACCGATTCAAAGAAACTAGCACAACCATAATAAAGTTCTTACATATATTTCAATCTACGTAATCAGCCCAACACTGAGAATGTAGAAACGCGTGTATTCGTATTTATGGCTTTAATATCAACCTACAAGTCGGTTAACGCCTATCCGATCTAATGCAAATTTATTTTTTCACAGCTTATTTATGGTAATAAAGCCTTTGGCACGTTTCTACTGATTTACATATTCCTGTAATCGTTATCTCATAAAACACATCCCTTATAATCACCCACATCTAATTTGCATTTTCCCAACAAACGTCGGATACGACATGTAACAATAAAATGTCACTGTGCTGTATGAATTACAGTGTAATAAATACTGATGTGTCTACGAGTAGGTATTCAAATGATTGCGGTAGGGATCGACGTACCCGTTTCCGTTGCGGACCGGCCGCATAGTAATTGCCTCTGAGGAAGGCGGTGCCAGTAGTAAATCATCGAAATTATTGCCTAATATTACTACAATTCAGTATGAGCCTTCGCAATCTGTTGTTTTGCGGTTCCACTCTCATTCATAGCTTTGTGGAACTCCTCGACCCAATATAAATTTCCTTTCAAATCCCACTGATAGATTTCGTATCGTACTTTAAGTGCATGCTATGTCTACATAATTGTAAGTTTCCGTAATAGAATTGCTATACAGTTTTTGCTGGGGAAGTAAGTTTATTCTGTCTGAAATAAATCATAGGTATAGTCGTAATTATGCGGTGCTTGATTAATATGTTCGTATAAATAAATGGCTTCCGTATGTAATCATGTCTAACAGAACTATATTGCAGGTTTGCTGTTGTAATAACTTTGAAATTGTTAATTTTCCAATATATTAGAAAATATGATAAGTTATAGTATACACAACTTAATTACAATACAGCTCATTACTGCAGAGATGACAGTTTCGATTCCTGAGACCGACATTTTTTTTACTGTATAATTATTTATTCTGGTATATGGTTGTCTGTATAATAAAGAGAAAATATCGGCATTGCGTAAAATGTTTTATTGGTTTTTATTTAGTTATTTACCGTATACTCAGTATTTTTTGTTAAAATGGCTCGGATATGTTAACAGGAAAGATAATTTTGATAACACTTTTCAGAATCGAAGCATTTTTTTCTCGTTTTTGAAGAAAGCTATTGAAATCTTAATTAAGCTGGCGGTATGGTAGAGGTTTTAGTAATAGATAAGGTATAAAAGTATTTCAAATACACATTAACAACAAAATTTTTGATTTTGATATGCACGCAGACCTAAAATGTGTATGAGGAGTATACAGAGTAAGACTTTATATAAAAATTAAAGAGAGAAAAAACATATTCATATTTAACCGACTTCCAATTCCAAAAAGGAGGAGGTTTCGTCGGAATCTTTTTTTTAATGTATGTTCACCGATTACTCGAAGACGCCTGAGCCGATTCGGATTTTTTTGTTTCAAAGGGCATACTTCCCAGGTGGTCCCATATAAATTTTATCGAAATCGGTCGAGCGGTTTTTAAAAAAATCAACAATAATTAATATTTTTTAAATAAATTGTTTAATCGAATATGTTATAAAAAACTTTCTTTTTACAAATTACCTACTTATTAACGTCTACACTAAAAATGGTAAAATAAAAACTTTTTAACAAAAAATAAAAACCGACTTCCAGGCACTAAAATGTAAAAATAACTAAACGGAGGTTTTCATTTAGAATAGATATCTAATCAAATATTTTCGAAGTGGGTGCCAGCCTACAATATTTTAAGATATGAATATCTAATAGGTAAATATGTATTTAACGTATCGAAATGATATATTAGATTTTCTTTGCATCGGCTGGCACCGACTTCGAAAATATCTGATTAGGTATATATTCTAAATGAAAACTTCTGTTTAGTTATTTTTTACATTTTAGTGTTTGGAAGTCGGTTTTTATTATTTGTTAAAAAGTTTTTATTACTAGTCTCTTTAAACTCACCTATTGAGTAAAACTATCATTTTCATGATTTTTTTCATACATTTTGACAGTTTAATAAGGATATCGACTGAAAAAAGATAAAACGGAGCGATTAATTATTTCGTGTGTTTTCCATTCTACGCAACATTGGCGAAGTAATCTGTGCTCAACTGTCACGCTTTGAAGCCATTAACAAGAGAATTGAATTGATTATTAATTTTTTCATCAGTAGGAAATTCCAGGTGTGTTTCATATAAAGTGTACATTAATTGAGCGATGCAATAAATTCCTAGATGCACCAGTATGCGGTATGACGTCACCGCAGGTGGTGGGCGCGGCGCTGCACGAGTCGCTGCACGTCCGGTGTTCAGTGCACGCGGACCCCGCCGAGGTCACGTTTCTATGGCAGTTTAATAACAGCGGTGAAAGTTTTAATGTCTCACCGGCGAGATTTGGTAAGGATTGCTTGTATTTAGTATTATAATATTAGTTTTACCCATTATTTCGTTCGTGATCGCAACATTTCCAAACTATGAAGGAAACAAAAAGTATAAAATGTTCAAATAAAATCAAAACCTCCTCCTATCTTTCCTCTCATCCTCTTCCCCCACTTAAGTAAAAACTTCGAAATCCTCTGAAAAGATTACTCCTTTTGACCAAATTTTATGATAAAGTAAGCTTTAATATAAGCTGTATTTGTTTTTTTTTTCAGAAAATATACCTGTTCATGCTGAATACATTCTGCATAAACTTAAAACTTATATATATTACGATAAACTTAAAAAGTATAACCTCATCTAAATAGTAAAATTTGATCCAAACCGTTAGAGCCGTTTTCAAGATACACTAAATTATTTTTTGTGTATACAAGAAATGCTCTTTAAAATATTGTAAGATAACACGAATGTGAAAGCTTAAAAGGTAAAAGTGAATAAAAGCTTAAATAAATATTTTTTTTTCAAATATCTACAATAGGTACATTAAACGGTAGTACAAGTGAACTTCGCTACACGCCGGCTACGGAACGAGACTACGGAGCTCTCACTTGCCGCGGAACGAACGGCGTGGGGCAACAAGCACGCCCTTGCGTCTTTCAAATAGTACCGGCGGGTATGTATGAAAGTAGACTATATTTTAATCATTTAGAATATGAGCGGAAGAGATTGTTTAATCGGACTTTAATTATTATATGTCTAGAAGTATGAAACCGGATTTTTTTTGTAAATATTACAAGTCTGTTGTTTGAAAATGATAAGAAATATATTTTATTCAAAATAATTTCCATTGCTATGTATACATTTTTCCCACCTCTCCGGCAATTTATGAATGTCACGCCAAAAAAACAGTTCTTCTTTTGAAGCGAATCAGTTATCGAGCTATTTTCGCACATTTTCATACGAATTGAAGCGTCGTTCAGCGAGAGTGTGTTCCAGTAATACGAATAGATCATAATCAGACGGATCCAAGCCTGGAGAGTTAGCCGTATGCGCTAGAATTTCTCAACTGAACGCCTCGATCGTTTCCCTGATCCGTTTTGCTGTGTGTGATGGGGCATTATCATGAAGCAAAATGACGTTGTGTTGTCTTCTTTCATATTCCGGTCTATATTCATGTAAGGCTCGATTTAAATCGATCATTTGCTTTTGGTAGCAATCAGTGTTAACGGTTTTTCCAGGATTTAACAGCTCATGATAGATTATAACCTTCTGATCCCACCGAACACAGAGCATCGTCTTCTTTCCAAAGCGATTTGGTCTTGCAGTGGATGTCGATGGTTCGCCTGGATTCATCCAAGATTTATGACGCTTAGGATTCTCGAAATATTATTTCATTTTCATTTTTCATCATCTGTTACGATTCGATGGAGAAATGACTTTCTTTTGTACCGGTCGAGCGGAATTTCACAAGTGATTTTACGATTTTCTTGCTGCTTTTCATTGAGTTGGGGAACCCATTTTTCCACTTTCTGAATCTTTTTCATAGCTTTAAAATGAATAAATACGGCTTTCTGCGTCACATTCAATTGATCCGCGAGTTCTTGTTGAGTTTGAGTATCATCTTCATTCATTAAAGCTTGCAATTCGTTGTCTGCGAAATTTTTCGTTGGTTTTCCAGTCTTCGTTTCTCAGGTCAAAATCACTACTTTTGAATTTTTTAAACCACTCAAAACACTGCGTTTTACCAAGAGCATGTTCACCGTAAGCTTCGACAAGCATTCGATGCAACTCTGCGGCAGTTTTCTTTAAATGATAACAGAAAACCAACTGCTGTCCGCAAATCGTAGTTCATAGGCACAAAACTCGACATTTTTAAGGTTATAGAAAAATATAACGGTGTATGGAACTTGGCATGTTGTGTATTGAAAATCTTTGTCAGGTGTTAGAAGGAGATGATGGTGCTGCAGAAGCGGTCTTACGGTCCTTAAACTGATGTCTAGTACCATCTATAGGGAAATTCCGGTTTCATACTTCTACACCTATCGCAATCGAGCGAAGTAAAGGTTATTTGCTAGTTGTTATATAATTTCAAATATAAGTAGTTGACGAATGGGTGTAAAGACTACACATATGATGAGAAATAAAAGCTTTTAGAAGGCCTTGGAGTTGGTTACCTGGCTATTTTTTTGATTATAATTATATTTTTTGCACTTGGTATAGATTTAAAAATTATTATTTCAATAAATGTAATTAACATCTTTACAAATTTAACATTTGCAATAAATTTTCACCACTTGTTAATTTAATTACACTATATAAAATTAAGTACATTAGTTTAAGCTAATTAAAACTTTTTTTAATAATAAAAATTGAGATGATCAAAACAAGTAATTTCCTTCAATAGCACGTCCATCGCCGCCACGAAATTGTACAGTTTCAACGGGCAATGACTCTAATTGGATTGAAGATTCCATTAAAGAAGATATCACAGATTTCCTAATAGTAAAATGCGTCGCGGGCTACGATGGGGGTTTGCCGCAGCTAGTTGTTTTGGAAGCTTTGGACTCTGTTACCGGAGCACTAAGGTTCAATGTCACAGCTAATGAGACGAGTGAGTATTTGTTTTGCTTTAACCTATATAAAACTATCTTTTCAAATTTTTCTTTCTGCCCCGTGAACATGATTGGTGTAAGCCTTGGAAATATTAGGGATCAAAAATCAAAATGAAAAGTGATTAAATTGTTATAGATAGTTTTATTTAAAATGTCAAATGTTCGCGTAAATCGAATAAAGTATTAACAATTTTTTCTAATTGATTTCATAATTGAAAGCGTACTCAATTCGGGTGTATTTTTTCTCTTTGTTACATTATATGTTCGTCAATTATTGTAATTTACAAGTTTTTTTTAATTTTACTTCTAAGCTAACCAATAATATCAGTTAAAACATATCAAAAATACTCGTACAATGATTGGATGGACGGAAATGGTCATATAAATTGTAGAAAAAAAATTACCCCAAGGGCCAAAATAATTACTTTTAAAGTAATTTTGAAGTCTACTGACTTTTTTAATTTAAAAATAATTATTTTTAAATTATTTTCATGGAAAACTGTAGGTATACAAAAATATGCAAATGAAGTCGGACCTCAAAACAGCCTTCCAAAATAAAACGGTCAGTTTCAGAAATGTTATCATAGATAAAGTATTATTTTTTATTAAAATTCTCGGATTATGTTTATTTAAAATATAAAATATTTTACAATAAACAAATTAGATAACACAACAACAAAGTACAAATAATATAAACAAAATATAAATAGATAACAAGTAAATTTGATAAAAGTAAATAAATACAACAAACACTAGAAAAGATCCCAATTGCCCTCTTCCGTACCCAAAGTTCATTTTGAAAGCATTGAAATTTTGTGTCTAAGCAGTAGCATAAAGGCACCAAAAGGAAGTCACATATATGTTTGAACAAATAGTATAAGCTCGAATTTCCATCCAAACCTCTCAAAAGCCTCCATTTTATGTCAATAACAACACAAAACTCTCACACCATAACAAACACTTACTTATGGAATCAAATATTTGCTCAAAGTCGAAATTGAATCCCCAATACTTAAAGCTGTATACTATACATTCACTTAAAAAGTAGACCTGTATTATGTTACGTGTACTGTGCGACATTTGACAAATAAAATATCAGTAATAAGATATAAATAGACCTTATGTATAAGCAATAAGCATCTATAAATTATATTTTATAAATTTCAAGATCGAATCAGTAGTTCGTTTACTTAAAAACAAGAAATAAATACCAAGTAATTTCTACCTTTGTAAAAATGCTAAACAGCCTGCACATTCTAGTGACTGTAGATTCTGAGGTCTTGGGTTTGAGTCTCTGAGAGTAGTCCAGAGTTTAAGTCTCTGAGAGTAGTCCAGAGTTTGGAAGTTGGCGTATCTCAGAAAACACGTAATCCTGCGCTTTAACTCTCGACGGTCGTATCAAACTATCGTCTGAGAGTAAAAGAAATAGAGAGTGCGCTTTTGTTTGCGCGGACTTTCGTATTTACTATTTGCATCTCCTGCGCTATAGGCTAGTCTCGGTGAGATTGACTGCCGTGGCCGAAATTGGTCAGGAGGATAAGCCTTATAAGATTGTCGTAGTGCAATGTAGTATATAATATCTAATTTGTATCTAGAAATCACTATGTTCTATTTAGAGGTCACAGATTCGATTCCTAGCAAATGTATGTTCCTACTTCACATGTATATTATGAATTTTCTGGTCCATAAAAACTGAAACTTTTAAAATTAAAAATTAGCTAAAAGGATTGTTTTGAAATAGTCGAAAAATGGGAAACGGATTGAATCATTACGTTAAATTTAATTTATACAGGAGAGATTCTCATGTTCATTTAGATTTTAGACATACAAAAAAAAAATAAGAAACACTAAGAGACAGCGGCTATACCACTTACGTAGTCTAAAATGTCCTTTGTTAATTAAAATGTAGAGTTTACTTATGGTTCTATGTAATTAGAAGAGTTACGACCTCATTATATAAAGAAAAGGACTTATTCATTAAAATAAGGGTTTTCTTTGTACCGTAATATGACTTATGAAATAAACATATTATAGTTAACTATACACATAATATTTTGTTCTCATTTTTGATTTAATTCAAAATAGAAGATTATTGTTTTATTGTGTATGTATTTATCTTCGATATTTTTTATTCTTTGTTTTTAAAAGGGTTTGATCATATAGACCTTGCCACCCAAATAGGAATTTAAAAAATCTTATCTATTCTACTTTTTTAATGTTCGCTAATTGTGATCGCATCTTTAAGGTTATATTTAAAGAGTGGTTCCATTAAAATTTCAAAAAAATTACTAATAAATTTCTAAAAAACAAAATTATATTATAATGGTGATTTTAGTATCACAGTCAAGTAAAAATTATTAAAAGAAACAAAAAGAAATAAAACAAACAAATTAATATAGTTATATAATATTCATACAGTTTCTGCATTAACCGTCACAGAGTAATAAGTTTATTGAAAATACTTAAATCACTACAAAGCACAAAAATAATTACTCTTTCTCTACAATTAATCATGTATTAAATTGAAATCTAAAGCGGCCTAACGTCCTGTTTCTTGAAGAACATTAATTATACTGTTACTAGTAATTACTTCAATAAGTAACCGGAACTGGACCGTGTTGCTTCGATTTGCGACCTTTGTGCTAGTTACAGTGTGGGGTCACAGAGTTTCCTTAGTCAATTATTCGACGTAAACTTAACTTGATCTTATTTGTGTTCAATCTTTTTTAATGTTCCTCTGCTGGGCACGGGTTGCCTTTAATACGAGGGTGATCAGGCATAGTCCACCATGCTGTCCAAGTGCGGCTTGGTGGGCGGAAGATTGGAATATCTAGTGCTAGTCTGATTCGCATACCGAGCTGTCCGTAGCGTGTAATATAATACATGCTTATGTTATCTATATGTTTTAACATAAAATAAAATACTTGCTTACACAATATTAATTTTATTGATGACATAAACAATTTTTTAATTCACGAAGAAATATGTAAAAGACCCAATACTCTACTACTACTATTACTACTATTACTACTACTATGAATCTGTACATTAAATATTTTTTGGAAAATCTTATTGAAATAGACTTTATTATTGATACAGAGGCCGAATCTATAGTTTTTAGAATTTTTGTCTGTCTGTCTGTCTGTCTGTCTGTCTGTCTGTATTACCGCATCACGAGAAAACCATTGGACAGATTTTAATGAAATTTGGTATGATGATAGCTGGTTATCTGGGTCAACATAAAGGATACTTTTTACCGCGGAGAAATATTTCATTTCTGAGAGAAAATACAAAAACTGTAATGTAAGAGTATACTAATATGTAAAACCTATGAATTTGGTTTTCGGTCATCTGAACGCGGGCGGAGCCGCGGGTAATGCTAGTAAGAAATAAATATCATCGCGAAACTCAAACACCGTTTGTTCTTTATAGGAATGTAAATATTATAATATAATCCAGTTTATTTCTTTTTTTACCGTTTGCTTTACTTTCGACTTATATTCACTTCTCGAAACTTCTACTATAGCATAGAAGTTTTCTCAGAACGTTTTCCTTCACCAACGGAAATAAGATGAATCGCAAACATAAATCAAGCATATATATGAAAAATTTCTAACTTCCTTCGATTCGAGTCGTTTGACAAAGATGCGTATAGAATCCATTTGTCTCATTTTCTTTCTTCAAGGAAATTTCTATGACATTATTTTATGTCACACAAATTCAATAGATTATACTATTTGACAAATAAAGATAAAACTATTCTTACTAAACGTCTTTCTTCCATCGAATTTGCAATTTTCATACACATGTTATTTGAATACATTATATGTATGTAGTGTGTATTTACTTATAGACGTATTTATATTAATGCGATAATATTGTGCGTTTATCGGTGATATCCCATGCTGCGATTGATTTTATATGGATGATGATGATGAGATTGACAAAGAGTAAAAAGGGACTATATTTATACATACTGGTAAAGATCAAAGTAGCGACAACAATCAGTCACAATTGGCAACCTTCACAAGTGTACTTTAATAATTAGTCCCATTTGCTATTTTTTATTCTGGTTATCGGTTGGGTTTTTATCTTTTTGAATAATTAGTCAAAATTTTTGTAGATCAGATTTCATTATTATCAAAAAATAAAGTCTTTAGTTTGGAAATTTATACCTAAAAAAGTAAAATAACACTTCCATCGTCATCAAGTCATCACAATCGTCGTCATCGCATGCAGTCTATAAACGACGAAACAAAAAGTGACGACGTTACGAGCGCGTGGGCAGCGTTTCCATGATTTCATCCATAATAAGATGTGACGTTCTTGACACGTTGTAATTCAGAAAATATTAATTAAATATATAAAGTAATAATAGCATTCGTTTCCTTATACAATCTTCATTTTACACAAAAAAAAACAAATTTGTTACATTTTTAATTTTTATTTATAACTATGTCCTTGGAATAGGTCGATATGTAACTTTTTAAATAAATGTTTGTTTATAAATATTTTCTTAGCTTCTTACATATCTTATATGGTTACTTTTTTTTTTAATGGCTTATAGTTGCGTTAACAGACGCAATCCATTCTGCCAGTGTCACGTTTTGTGGGGAAGACACGAATGAGATTGAGCGGTAATTTTGAAATTTGGTAACTTTATTGTGCAATTAAAACTATAAATGAATGATCGGTCTACAAGAGTAACCTATAACAATAGAAAAATAATTATATGGTTACTTGTTTGCGGACTAGAAACACTAATATTTACTTTAAATGTTAGTTTGAAAGTTTTTATGACCATTAATGAATCGTCAAAAAAGTTTCGCTGAACTCATTAATCTTATTCTTCGATAATCGATTGAACTTATTATTCGATATCTTTCGAGAAGAATAATATATTTTACTCGAAAAATTATATGTTGTTTGATTTGTTCTAATTATGCTGAGACTAAAAGAGATAAGTGGATTAGACTAGATTTATACATTTTGGGTTGTTTGAGTACGCAACAATTTGTATAGTTTATAAAAAAAATGTATAGTTATTACTAGCTTTAAATATATCAGAATAAGTTCACTGAGATATTTTATATTATTAAGTTTTATGAACTTACAATCTTCTTCTTCTCCCTGCCCATTTCCCAATCACTCGGGGTCGGCGCAGTACATCTTCTGTACAGCTGCTGATAGGATTTGGCAAAAGTTTTACGACCGGCCGCCTGCCTGACGTCAACCCTCCTTGGGAATACTATTGCATCTCTTTGTCTGAATGGTATCGTGGAAGTTTTATTCTTTCGATTTTTTTTGTCTTTTAAAACATTTTTTTTATGAACTTACAATATTGATATATAAATAGGCGACTTCCATAGCTTAAATAGTGTTATAATTGTTTTAACAATCCTTTGTATAATATAGATGGTGTTGCGGTAATAATGATACCAGTGGAAGCGCTTTGGTCCACTGGTAACGTCTTACGTCTCACAGTGCATTCGAAGAATGATAAGGGCTCTTCAGAACGAATAGTTATTCAAGCACTCTCTTACCAGGATCCTGAGAGGAGAACAGGTGAGCTTAAATTTATTTATCTGTACCTACTACGCGTAGTGTTATCTAATTGAAGAGATTTGGTTTTGTTTCTTTTTTTGAACGTACCTACATATCTCTGGAAATACTAAGTAGTCAAATTAGAAAGAATATCTTAGCATTTTAGTTTACTAGCAACTAACCGTCGTCGTTCGTCCCTAGTGAAAAATTAAAATAAATATATCCCACGGGAAACGTACATTTTCCGGGATAAAATGTAACCTATGTGCCATTCCAGACTATAATCTATCTGTGCCAAATTTCATCAAGATCCATCCAAACTTTCGCATTTACAATATTTATATGGGATTACATAATATTGATGAATATTGGATTTGTAGAGGAAGGTTATAGCCTATAGGCTAAATAATATTACGCTACAAGCAATTATTTATAAATAGGCTATACGAGTGGAAACGCGGAAAAAGTTTGTGTTCTTATAATAGTAAAAAAAATGTTTTTTTTCCATATAATATTACGTCAGAAAGAACTGTTGTATTCATGCCATTCGAACAAAACTGTCAGTGACAAACAGACAGATAATAGAGTAATACGAGTTTATAAAAGTCGTTTGTTTTCATAAATAAATAACTAACTCCTTTTTTTAAAATTTCAAAACAATTACACTAACAAATTAGAGAACATAAAAAATAGAATTCAATTTGTGAATACTCGCGTTAGGGACGAGCTATTATCGTATCAAATTTGATCTTTTAAATTCCAATAACACTGTTTACACAAAACTATTGGATTGAGCTAAGCTGATGTAATCGAACCTGTTATCGACAAGCTTATTATGTTGACATGGCTAATTATTTGTTAAACACACAATAACGTTCAGCTTGCATCATTGATAACTTTGTATGTAACAGTTAAATTGGTCTAATGGAGATTTATTATTGTTTATTTTAATTCCATGACATGTATGTAGTTGACGAGAATTCGTATAAACAACAATTGCTGAATTATTTAACGCTCATTATTCACCGTATTTCATTAAAACAAGGAAAACAAATAAGTAAATAAATTAACTGTATTTATTCGGTTATTACATGTGGCGAAAGCTTTCCTTTGAACTCATATCACCATATTGCCAGAAATATTTTTATTTCGTATGTTTACTTTATACAAAAGCTCTTTCATGATAACAAAATGTGAAATTCATTCTAAATATGTTTATTTGACGTATTTTCTGTGGTCTTAGTATCTTTTTGGTCTTAGTGTCTTTGACAAAAAAAAAGTATAATATGTCATGTGTCAATGTTCAGTATTTTTTTAACGTCCCACTGCTGGGCACGGGCCTCCATACACTACGAGGGGGATCTGGCTGTAGTTCACCACGCCGGCCTAGTGCGTGTTGGCGAATATCATGTCTTTCAAAAACATGCTAGGTTTTCTCAAACATGCAGGTTTCGCGATGTTTTCCTTCACCAATAATAATTGTGGTAATCATGTTGAAAATGATTCGCGCATGTAAAATTACAGGTGCGAGACTCGGGATTTGAACTTACTTCACTCGGTTTTCCATGCGAGCGCGTTACCACTGCCTTTTGCCATATTACTGTTTATTTTTTATATAACACAGACCATTCATATAAATATATAAAATAAGGCTAACAATATCAGTAACATAGTATAAACTACTTACGATCATTAATCTTAATCGAAGTTGCCAATGAAAATAACTGCCAAACTAATGAAAGTAATATATGATATAGTTGGGAAACTAAAATAATAATGTATTACTCCGTTATTTTGAGATAAGAGCGGCGTAAATCAATAACTTGTTTCCTTGCTGGTATTATGATAGATCATCTTTATATAATAAGAGTCTCGTGGAGTCGATACGCTATAAGGAAAATGTACATCTTTTACGAATATGACCGATTGCGCTTAACACCTCCAGGTAAATTTCTAAGAAATTAATTAAAATTCTAAGAAATCTATTGTTAATTGACCCGCCAGAGTGTTCGTGGTCGGTTTAATTATGGTGGATTTTTCTAACCATTTACAGAAAAAAGCACTTTATTTTCGAGTTCTCATTGCTAGCGCTATGTTGGACAGCATTTTGTTATAGAATGTGGGAATAATGTAAATCTTGACAGCGTGTCATAATTTTGTAACGGATATTTTAAGTTATAGATATAAATTGAGATTATGATTCTAAAAAAGACAGTGATTACCATTTATCTTACGGTAAAGGAAAACATCGTGAGGAAACCTGCATGTCTGAGAGAACCTAGCAAGTTTTCGAAAGACAAGTGAAGTCCGCCAACCCGCACTTGGTAAGCGTGGAGTATGGCCTGATCCCCTTGTATTTGAGGGAGGCTCGAGCCCAGCAGTGGGAGGTAAAAAAGGGCTGAATACATACATATTATTTTAAAAGCTAGTAGTACCTAAATTAAAAATTGAGACACAGAAGTGTAGAGTCCTACGTCGAACAGCTGTTCGAGATTGATTTCTTTAAAATCATTACCTTAAATCCACAACAACTAGTTTTTGGCTATATATTAAAGAAGATAAAGCTATTTAACATCACGCAACACTCATAGAAATGTGCGTCAGAGCTTTTATACATACACAAAGGACGCAAGCGAACCCGCGTGTTAAATATAGTCTAATACGAATGTATTATACTATATTGAACACGTTTTTACACGTGTTTAAATAAACTTGTTAGTTGTAATAAATAAAACATATGATATTTTTTTCTTTCCTAGACGGCAGTCATAACCTAATGGCGGGAATGTCCAATGGAGCTTTCTGGGCGATAATCCTGACTATAACACTTTGTACTGGCGCCGCTTTATTGGTTGGGCTCTTTCTGAGGAGAAAAAGGTAAGGAAGGGATTGTCCATTGAAACCCACTGTGTTATAATTTACAAGATATTTACGATCTTTGATATCTTGTGCTAGACTGCTTATAGCGCTATGAATTGTCTTCAAAATTTGCGATATTGTTAGCTATTACTGTTGATAAAGAAAATTGCAACATTTAACATGTATGCAAAAACATTCTGTTGTGTAAGCTACGAGGCTTGTGTTAGGGATACCAGATTGTTGATACACTATACATATGTACTTAACTTTTAATAAATACATATTATAAATATAAACACCCATGACTGGAGTACAAACATTCGTGCTCATCACACAAATGAAGGCCCCCAGCAGGACTCGAACCCGCGACCGCTGGCGCAGCAAGTAGGGGTCATAAGGATTTGATCATATCTAAATACTTGCAAAATGTGTACTTTAAATTGAAATAATAGTAAAAACTTTTTAACGCTAAAACGTTATATAAAAAGAGTTGCTAGTTCAATTTCAATTTATAAAATACTATATCTAGATCAAAACTCTATATAATGAAAACAATTAGATATCAACAATAAATTATGTTTCCAAACACGTATATATATTATGTATAAAAACACATGCATATTGGATTTTTTGTTTATAGAACGCGGTCGGCAAGTAAACAACACTCGCCAGAACTCCAATTAAATTCCGGCGATGGACAATACGTTGTGGCCTACACGCTGAAACCTCCTAAACAAGCGCAACCAGATATTTTAAATCCGCCACCTGGTAAGCTTTCACTGTTAATTATTTTTTTTAGCATTTCATTAAATTTTACATCTCACATACACTTACTCTATATGAGGCTTATATTTTTTTTTTATTATTTGACTATACTTGCGACTTACCCTCGCATCGCTCGGGTTCGTCTTTCGATGCCTTTTTCATTTATAATATTATATACATTTATGGGGCTTAGATAAGGTGTCCTTCTACAATCGTTGTATAATAGAAATCTAAAAAAAATACGGTAATAAAATATAATGATTCTATGACATAACCATTGTCATTTAAAAACGTTTTTTTTAATTTCTAAACTAAACTAAACAAGTTATTGTTAAATGACCTCTGGTGTATTACTCGGAGATTAAGCGAAATAAAATAATAACAACGTATAGAATATTTGGATTCATTCAATATTTTATTTACATGTTTATGAAATATATTTAAATCTATATATACTCGTACAAAAACCCATTGCCGTTCGCTATTCTCACAAAAACTAAAAAACGGCTGGACCGATTTAAAGTTCAGAACTGTTTATTTTGTACTTATGTATTAATATTATAAAGTCTTTCTAATCCATACTAACCGTTAAAACGTACCTGAAACGATGAACCCGAGCGAGCGTGGGTCGCTAGTAAATAATAAAATATAAATAATTATAAGAATATACACACTGGAATTTAAATTCCAGTTAGAAAATAATTAAATCCAAATATTTAATATTTAGAGATATAAAAATATGTAACTTAATAAAGGCAGGCTAAATTAAATTTTGTTTAGTAAATTCTTAGAAGATTAGAGATTAACGTACTTGGTTTTATTTTGTTTATATTACTGACATACAATAAATACAATCAACTACTAATCCAATTATAAATAAAATATAATAAAAATCGTAATTCAATTCAAATTCACAAGGGGATATTAAGTTTTTTTTCCAAAGACGAATATTTTTATTAGAAAGTTATTTTCGGTTATATGTACTATATAAAACTATGTGTAAATTATAAAAAAACATCGATTGCTTAAAATTGTCCTAGATGATATTTATAAATGTATGTAGTAATTTAATATAGAAAGTTATATTTTTAACACTGTACAGTGTACAGGTATATAGTTAACTAATTTCAAACAAGCCTTTTGACACGTGTTATTATAATGTGCATGTAGCAAGAGCCATCGAAAATATTATCGACATAACCTATAATAATTTAGTATAAAATTTTATATATTTATTAAAAATAATAAAACGGTAACAAATAAAACGAAAAAAGGAGTTTTATCCTAAAGTATATTCGCATTACTGGCAAAAATATAATATTTATTTTGTACGTTCGTAAAATATGCATAACATACATTTACGTATAATTTTTCTTTCAATACCAAACATCAAAAGAAAATTGAGCCGCTTTCACTACATATAACAAAAAATATTATGAGAAACATGTTCCAAGCAAAGTGCATTTGGAGTTAAAAGGTGAAAAAATATTTAAAAAATACCTATACGATTTTAGACGGGAGTCCTCCACTGAAGGGGGTTGGGGTCGTCAAAAACGGGGCACTCCACGATGAGTGGAGCGAGCACGACCGGCGCGCTAGTATAGCGGAGAGTACGGTAAGGATTATCTACTTTATTCGGATACTTGTATTTTTAATTAAGTTCATTTGCTTTTTTTATGTTTTAATCATATATTTTAATATTATTTGAATTTAATAAAATATTATCATTTTTACATTTAATATTATTCAAACTCATGGCATCTATTTTTGCATGTAATTAAATAATAATATTATTGTTTAAATAAAATGGCACGCAATTCAATAACAGGAAAATTTTAAAGAAGTAATTTTGTTTTTTTTTTTAATTAGTACTAATTATCAAAAAATAAGTCATTTTTTATTAAATACTAACGATTCCCGAGGTTGATTCCATGTACAAACTTTCATCTCCATTTTAATTGTCTGAAGGGATGATTTCTGGAATTAAAATTATCCTATGTCCTTCCCAGCGAGTCAAACTATCTTCTTACCAAAGTTCATCTTAATCGGTCTAGTAGTTTTTGAGTTTATTCGTAAATCAACAACAACCATAAAAAATGCAAATCTTTCCGCTTTATACTCGTAATATATATAATATATAGTGTAGATGTAGATTTAATTCATTCAGTAACAACAACATACCTGTTATGTTCAATTTACTTTTTTGCTATGGCTTTTTAGCGTGTCAGTCGAGTACAGATTACTTGTCAATGTCACGTGGAAATAGAAATCATTATAGCGGCCTGGAAAAGTATATAGATAAAACATTTTTCCATACAATTTTTATTTTATTTTTCATCAGGACCGAAATAAGGTTTCGTGGGAACACTTTATAATATTTTAATGAAATTAACATACAAATCCGAATAGATGTTTTAGTTTCATTATAAAGAACTTTTATCCTTGTGGATAAAGCTTTAAAGCAAATATTTATTTGAATCCGTACTTGTGGATTCTTTCATATGATTTTTTTTAATAATATTTCAATATAAAGAAGGTATGCATTATTAAAATTAATAAAAAAAGAAACATGTTGTTTTTGTTGTATCATATTTAAATATATCATATTACATTTGGCTTTATTTCATTAAATATATGTATGTATTTTAATCTTAAATTTTGTAGATTTGGTCTCACATTTAGGAACAATACAGTCAGAGTATCATAGAACTAAACATGAGGCCAATCTCTCTTATTTCTTAAAGAAAGTAAATGATTTGTATGGCAAAATCGAGAATAGTAGCATAAACAGCAGTACCTGGGCTACCGAGCTTCGCTTGAAGTTTTTGGCCTAAATACAATTTTTTTTTAATAAAAAGTTAAATAAATATTTAAAAAAAAACAAAAGTAAAAATTTTATATCCGACCGGGATTCGAACCCGGACACCTATTATAGTCAATCTTGCGCCTTAGCCGCTTGACCATGATGCTTATATCCGAGCTTGCGTAATTATCAACCATATTTTCTTTCGTGGAATAATGCGAAAGAAAACCGCATAAAAATTCGAGAACACACGTTTTCCCCTACATAAGACTAATCTAGATCGATATATCGCTCCTGAAACCCCTTGTGCACTAAATTTCATGAAAATCGTTGGAGCCGTTTCCGAGAATATATAAATATATATATTACATAATTACGCTACTATTTTTGACTTTCTAAATTTTTTGGCGCGCTCCGACTTTATTATGTATAATTCCTTAGTCTAAGGGTTTGCTTTGTTCGAATAATGTTAATAATTTGGTTGCGTACATGATTTTTTGAACTAAAATGGTTAAATTATTGATATAATTAATATGTGATACAATAATATTATATGTAGTAGAAAATCATAAAGCACTAGAGTTATAAGTTAAGCAAAAATCGAATCTGAAAGAACAAAATAATTCTTGAAACTAAGGAATTATTTCGAAATTTACACTTCAGTAAGTTATTTAATAGATTATTAATATTCGTATATTTCGAATAATTCAAAAATATATTATATATATATTTGGATAAACGTTTCGTTAGAGACTAAATTTGGAGTTAAGATAATTGTGATCTTAATGATCAAAGATGAAACATCTATAAGAAATGTCTAGACAGGTTAGATTTCTAAATGTATATAGCACCTGAATTTTGTTTTCAATTTATTATGTCTAAAAATTTTATATTAAATGTTTCACGTTGTATTTTTAAACAAAATGTATAATTACCACCACAACTAATTACTACTAATTAAGTTATGCTTGAAGTAGTACAAAAAATTTCATTACACATTTATGCTGTTTGACTCACGAGTACAGGGTTTTAATTTATTTAATATCTACTGCTAGGGACGTGGCAGGTTCGATACCTGGTCATGGTGAATTTTTGTATTGTATTAGCGGCTAAAAATTGTGAAATGTATTATTTGACACATCGTATATGAAATGTTAGACAAAATAATTATTTTTCAATAATAATGTGATTTTCTAATCAATATCTAACCATAGGTACATATACGTATAAAGCATTTAAAATTATCGTTGTATTAAAAAGTTGTTCTTTTCAGTCCGTAACGTCGAGTACGGCTGCGAGTAAACCTGTAACGATTAGTACTTCAACCTTAAGTAGACGAGAACATCTCATAGCAGAAGAAATACCAGGACCAGAGAGTTGTGTGTAGATTTATAGAAAATTAGAACAATTTGTATAATAAATAAATAAATGTAAAATGTATGTATTGACTGTGACAATTGTGATAAATGCGTTGTAAATAATGTAAATGATGGAAAATAATAAAATTTGATTTTATTGATGTTCTATGTTTTATTTACAAAATGATAATAAAATTAAAAGTATACTAGTTTTCGTCGACGGTTCTGCTCGGGTGGTAAGTAAATCTATAAAAGAAGACCTGTAAGTTAATCTAGGCTATCTTTACACGGAATTTATATCAAATCTGTTGAGTTGTTACAATATAAAAAAGTAACAAAATGACATAGCCATAGACTACTTCATCAATTCGCATTTGTAAAGTTACTATGATAGTCAAACGTTTTTCCTTACATACCTATGTAAATGTGTTAATTCAGTAAGAATAAGAAGCATATCTAGTTTTTAGATTATTTTAAGTTATTTGCTTTACGAAATTTAAATTAAAACAAAAAAAAATAACTTAATAATTTTATAGCAAAAGCATTTTTTATTATATAATGGTCTCTCATTTTAATTGCTGTTAGGGCGAGTTTAAAATGCTTGTTTATTTTAATAAAGACAAATGGATCGTTTCTTTATACGTGCCATATAAAAATGAGGACATAAAATGTAGAATGATAATTTCTTTAAAAAATCTGAGCAGTTATGTTAAAAATCAAAAATTATGTTAATTAATAAGCAAACAATAATAATTTTATGTGACACCATAAAATGTAATGAACAGATGGAAAAGGTATAAAATTAGTAAAAATATTATTTCCCAATCGATTTCCGAATAGGCAATTCCGTTTACATTATTACATCGTAATTAGGTATATGATTCATTATCATCGTATTAGCTATTCGTATGTCAATGGAGGCAATTTCGGTAATGATTCTACTTTGAGGGTGCATTTCAAAATAACGTGGAATTGGGCTTCGATAATTACTTATTTTATGCCATAAATATATAATGAATAAGTAAATTGTCTTAACTAGTGTTTGGCTATATTAATCGTTATTGATAATTTGAGGAAAATATATGTATATGAATAGAATTTACCTATGTATATTAATATAAAAAACCTAATTGTTGTCCAAAAAAATAAAAATAAAACAAATGAATAAAAAAGTGTAACGTCCTTTATTTTTACTGGCGGGGAAAAATATTTATGAGCGTAAATAAAACAAATGGTGAACAGTGTATGGAGTTCAAAAAATAAATAGTCTAAATCCATCTACAGATGATCCTGCGTCGATTGGTGAAAGTTCCATACCGATACGTTCAGTAGTTTTTACATGATGGCATGACATCGTTTTGAAATTTTCATTATATAAAAAAGAAGTAGAGGAAGTATAAAAGAGGATAACCATCAAATCATGGGAATTATAATAGATGTCAGAAATGCCTCTTAATTAAAGTGTCAGAGGGATGTCATCGCTTACCGTAATCCTGTTTCTGGTAAAAACGATGAAAATTCTTTCCTCGTATTGAAACTGTGCCTTCACGTGCCCGAGAGGCTTTTCCAATTTGTATCCATCAACTTGACTTAAATAAACTTTAGTCTTTTTATAAACTCTAGCTCGATTAACCCGGCGGCCGATGGTCTTCTTTTTGTAAACGATGCTTATTGGCTTCTAGGTGTATATTTTTTTATTAACTTACTACAAATAGTATAATGAAGTGATAATTTATAATATAATTCAACATTATTTCTATAATGATAATTTTCATAATTAGATACAAAAATTACGCAAAATCACACAATCGACCAATGTTATATATTAGATAAGTTTTTATCGATATTTGTAAAATAAAAAAAAACACTTTGGAATCATCATTTAATTAAAATGACAGCTACCAACGACCTGGAAAGCAGTTCTAATGCTCAAGCAAGAAACTCAATAGGAGTTCTTTTAAAAAAATGTTTATAATACTGAAATACAATAAATTTTATACTTATCCTACGTGAGTATTATCTAAAATTAATCTTACCCATTTATGGCTGGAAAGTACAATTTATCTAATCCGTAAAATTTAACCATAAAAACTTTACCATACAATCTGACTTTTCCAAAGAAATATTGGTCAATTAAGTCTAATATTGGATAATACTGGAGTTATTTTGTTTGTAAGAAGTTAACATTATCTTTGCTTAATGCATCAGGGTTAATCGTTTACGTGAGTTATGCAGGTAGCCTTAAGGGAAATCCCGAAGCGCAATAATGAACAGCTAACGTAATCCTCGGACCAGTTTAACAATTACGAGAACTCTCCAGCTCATATTCTATTAAACAGCTAAGGACGATCGAGTGGTTTCGAATAAGTCAAGAAATAGAAGTAGAGGTATTTAACCTCTAACTTTAATTTTTTATAGTTATACTAGCGACTCACCCTCGCTGCGTTCGGGTTCGTCTCTAGATCCGTTTTAACGTTAGTATAGATTTCTCAGAGATATTTTCCCGCAATAAAAAGTTTCTCCTATCCATTCTATATGTTGACAAGGATCTATCAACATACCATATTCCAAATTTCATCAAAATCTGTCCCGTAGTTTTCTCGTGATGCGTTCCCAGACAGACAGACAAAAGTTCTAAAAAGTATAGATTTAGCCTCTGTATCGATAATAATAACTATTTCTATAATAAGATTTTTAGACTCAATTAGAATTTTATAATACGTGAGCAACCGGTTCTGGAAAGTGTCACAGATATTTAGCTATGTGTAAGTATGTATATATGTATATATACAGATGTACATACAAATATAGGTAAATTTTAATCGTAGTACTTGCTGTTTATTACAATAAGAAATCTCAAATTAATTATCAGAAAAAAATTTCGCGTCAACGGCAGTACGTTGATGGTAATACGTCAGAAGCTTTCGGGTTCGTGCATACCACAACTCAAAAATTTATACATGATTTTTATAAATAAATTCATTTATTTTACGGAATTTTGTTAGGAGTGGGAAACGAAGAAAATGTTTTAATAACTGCTGTTATAGTAGAGATAGCAAATACTGCTTTGTTTACAATTTATAAAGAAGTGAATAATACATAGAATTTTTATGGTTCCAAAAACAAACTCATATCGAACCAAATAGTAAAAAGTAATATGCAAAATCATCAAAGAAGACGTAAAAAATAATGATAGTGATGTCAAGTGGGGACCTTTACTAAGGAAGCAAGGATATGACAAATACGCCCGTTAACGAACCGCCATGCGTAAATAATATCACATTGTTTCGTTTTCAGTTCTTCCTGTAAATAGGGCGTTGTAGAAACTGTTTATGAAATAGTTATGAATAAAAGCAGTGAAATCTAATGTATTAAATTCTCGTGTCACAGTGTTTGTAACAAAACTCCTCCGAAACGGCTTGACCGATTCTTATGAAATTTTGTGTGTATATTCAGTAAATCTGAGAATCGGATGTAAACTGTTATTTCATACCCCTAAGTGATAAGGGTGGTCTACCCCAAAAACTTTTTTTAATTTTTTGGACATTTTTTTTTATGATTCAGCATTAAAAATACATACGTACAAACCTAAATTTTCACTACTAGTTGTACTATAATAATCATTGTTTAAAGATATATAAAATCGTAGAATTAATCGATTTAGAACCATCAGATAAGTGCGAGTCTGATTGAAGGGTTCCGTAGATGAATTTTATATTATATTTAACATACATACATAATTCGTTTATCTTATTGTAAAACTAAAATAAAATACTGTCGTAACCACTATGTGTTGAAGTTAATATGTAAAATTAATTTAGTAGTATTTCTAAGAGATAATATGCTTTCATATTATTTTTAAGAAATTTAAGTTATTTAAAGATAAATAAACAACTACATTTCTTCTGACCAAGCTATCTTCAACATGTGTAATAAGCGACTCAATTTTCAACATTATTTTTATAAAAATACTGGAAAATTAGCCTTCCCTTTAAAAATAATAAACAAATTCTATATAAAGTAAACATGTAAACATATAAACATGAAAACATCTCAAAGCAGCTGTTATGACTGCGACAATGAGGTATTTCATTACAATTAGGTTACTTCAAGTAAATTTTATCCAAGGTACATACATATAAGCGCCTAAGAATTTTTCCTCAAAACGAATGTGGAATTCCCGCGCGTGTTCTCATTTAACTCGTAATTTTTCATTGAGTCTGAGAGTAGGAAAAGCCTCCAATTAAGTTTCTTTTTACCGCTTGCCTCTTGAAAAGAGAAGAAAAATGAACAACACTGGGAAAGGACAGGCCGCACATACATATTATGTATAACTATAACGTATACTGTTTGTGATGAACAGAATATGTATATGTATGAATGTATATGTGTTGGGACTTGTAAAAAGGCTCACGTACGGTTTTTTTAAGTAATAGAAAAGTAAAATCTTTAATAATTCACAAAAAGTGTTTTTTGTGGGTTTTACAAGTGAGTATGTAACACACCACAGACATGTTGTGCGTGCCTTTTTTGAGCCCTTTTAATGTTTTTTTGTGATTTTGAATGTAAACAGTTGACATGATATTGGAAAATAACATTTTAATTGTTAAAAAATATTATTATTGAGGACTAGACAAGTGCTATCGCTTCAGTCATAACTTTTATTAGTCGGTTTTGACTCGACTACAAGTCCTCTGAGGGTTCTTCTTTATGTGTGGGGCTGCCCTGATTGGTATAAAATGGCAGTGTTCTTACAGCATCCTCGTCATTGTGAGATATTACCATCTATTAATTGTAATTTATTGTAGCCAATGTATTAGTTTCATTTGCTTATCGGATAAATCTGCTAATGGTTTTTTACTCTTACTCTCTACTTGTTATTTGTCTTGCCTGTGAATTTTCGATTTACCCAATAAAGTGTTAAGTTAAGCTTTAGCTAATGTGATTTCTCATATAATTGAATTATAATATTCTTTTGAGAAATAAATGATCTTAAACCTGAATGGTGTCTCCCTCGGCGTCGGAG